AATTTCCATCCGATGCTACTGCATCCATTTCAATCTCCTTCGCTTCTTCGATATATTTGGATATGACGACTGGATGATCCCTTGATACGGCTGCTGCTCGTCGTAAATAATTCTCTAAATCGTCGGATGAGTATACCGCATTCATTGCAGCACCAGACAAGACATATGATGGTCTAACTAAAACTGGATATCCAACTTTCTCGCAGAATGCTACTGCATCATCATAGTTTGTCAATTCCTTCCATACTGGCTGGTCAACTCCAATCCGATCAAGCATACGAGAGAACTTGTATCGATTCTCCGCAGTGTCAATCATTTCAGGAGATGTACCAAGAATATTCACGTTCTGATGGCGTAGGAGAAGTGCAATGTTATTTGGTGCTTGACCTCCCATGGAAATAATAACACCAGATGATTTCTCTGCCTCATATATATCCAATACTCTTTCCAAGGTAATATTGTCAAAATATAGTCGATCAGCTTCATCATAATCCGTGCTGACAGTCTCCGGGTTGTAATTAACCATTATTGTTTTAATGCCATTTCGACGCAGAGTGCGAATCGCTCGCACAGCGCACCAGTCGAATTCAACAGAACTACCAATACGATAAACGCCCGATCCAAGAACCATTACTCCCTTATCACCAAACTTTATATCGTGTTCAACAGCATTGTACGTCACGTACAAATAATTCGTGTGTGCGGGAAATTCAGCGGCGACTATGGCATATCATGAATCGAGTTGGAGATAAGATTACTACGATCATGAGCATATTGTAAGCGACATTAAATATATGTTACCTGTGTCTATTTGTTTCACAAACGGTATAATATTGAAGTCTTGACGAATTTTCCTTATAGCCAATTCAGTACTTCCAACTGCCTTCGCGATTTGACGATCAGAGAATCCTAATCGCTTTGCATTCAAAAGCATCTCACGCGTAATATTAATAGGATTATATTTTCTCAATTCGCATTCAAGGTCAATAATATTCTTCAACTTAGAAAGAAACCATTTGTCGATATTAGTCAATTTCCAGATTTGTTCAACTGAATAGTTCTTATGGAATGCATTAGCTATGGCAAAGAGTCGTTGGTCGGACGGGTTCACAAGTTCTTCATCTATGGTAGCAACATGATCGTTCTAACAGAACGGTTTCGTCACGTTAGAAAGGAAATAACAGAACGCTGAAAAAGCAATATATACAATAACATCAAGTTACAAACATACCTCACCAAATCCCATAAAATGATAATCAATGGATCTAATAGCCTTCTGAATAGTTTCTTCAAACGTCCGTCCGATACTCATCACTTCCCCAACCGATTTCATGGCAGAACTCAAGCTCTTATTCACCCTTGAAAACTTCTTCAAATCCCATCTTGGTATCTTAACTACGACATAATCTAAACTAGGTTCAAAGCAAGCACATGTCACTTTAGTCACCGAGTTACTGATCTCATTTAATGGTATTCCCAATCCTAATTTCGCAGCAACAAACGCTAGTGGATAGCCGGTAGCCTTTGAGGCAAGGGCAGAGGACCGAGATAAACGCGCATTGACTTCAATGATGCAGTATTCATTAGAGAATGGGTTTAGAGCGTATTGTATGTTACATTCACCGACTACACCCAAGCGGCGAATCACGCTAATTGCACTTGAACGTAGCATCTGGTAATCTTCATCCGAAAGTGTTTGCGATGGAGCAACAACGATTGAATCCCCCGTATGAATACCAAGCGGATCAAAATTCTGAATTTTGGAGATGCTTAGGTAATCTTATCATTAATCGAACAAAATAAAGAAAGGACTAATACGAAGAGAAATATACTACATCAAAGACGAATTTAGTAACAAGTAATGATACGTTACCTCCATATTACAGACAGTTATACAATTATCTCTGCAATCACGAACGACTTCGTATTCAATCTCCTTCCATCCCTTCATTGACCGCTCTATAAGCACCTGGGAACTAGTTGCAAAGGCTTTCGTACAAAGCTCTGTAAGCTGCGCCTCATTCTCGGCAAAGCCGGATCCAAGGCCACCCAGGGCATATGCGGCACGGCAGATGATAGGATAACCTATGAGTTCAGCTGCTTGTAGGGCTTCCTGAACGTTGGTCGCCGGAGCTGATTTAGCACATTTCTCACCGATTTCTAACAGTAGTTGTGCAAACGCCTCGCGATCTTCTGTTGTAATAATGGTGTCGATTGGTGTACCAAGCACTTTAACACCTAAACTCTCAAATTCATTTCGGAGTTTGACACCGACATTTAGAGCTGTCTGGCCACCAAACGTCACGTAAATGCCATCTGGCTTTTCATGTTTGATGACTTTGCGGACGAATTCGGGATCCACTGGCAGAAAATAGACCTTATCCGCGAGGGAATCAGATGTTTGAATCGTGGCAATATTTGGATTGATTAAAATCGTGTAGATTCCTTCTTCTTTCAGTGCTTTAATTGCCTAAAGGTAATTTTTGACATAAGTAATAAGTTCGGATAGAACGTATCGCATTTAGAGTAACGCGGCAAGGTTACCTGGCTTCCAGAATAGTCAAATTCTCCGGCCTGTCCGATACTTAATCCGCCACTTCCCAGTATTAAAACTTTCTTAACATCAACGCGAGGGTTCTTTCTATCATTATCAGACTTCGTACCTCCAGGCATTCTCACGTAGACCAACTCCCTGGCTTTATTTGAATCTATTACCGAATTAATAAAAACGTCAAAAAGATATTCCGTATCTCTTGGACCTGGATTCGCTTCAGGGTGAAATTGTACAGAAAATATCGGTAAAGTCTTGTGTATGAAGCCCTCGTTGGAATGGTCATTCGCGTTGACAAAGAGTTCTTGATATTCTTCCGGGAGAGTATCAGCATCCACGGCATATCCATGATTTTGAGAAGTGATATAACATCTGCCTGAAATCATGTCGGTGCAGGGAATATTATGCCCACGATTACCATATTTCATTTTCACGGTTTTGGCGCCAGCCGCAAGTCCGAGTAACTGATGTCCTAAACAGATTCTGCATTTACGCAATGATATGCAATTATTCTCATATGTCGTATATCGTTTCAATACTGTATACAGATAACTAACCCGAAAATTGGTGTTTTTGCCTCTTTTAAAGCAATACGTAATCGCTCGATTGTTACTTGAACCATGCTCGGATCGCCCGGTCCATTGCTGAATGTAGGAACAGAACGTTAATTAAGTGCGCTTTTGAAACAAAAGTTATCCTTTCCTTTCCTCGTATTTCAACTTAACTATCACCGTATTAAATGTCAAACCATATATTACGAACTGGCTGATAAACCCTGCCCATATAATTCCTATACCTAATGAAAAGTCCATCATAGTCTTTTTCTTGTAAAAAATCGTAATTCCAGGGCACAACCTTAATCTCTACGTTACGATCAACAAAACAGCGAAGCTGACTGTATTTCTGAAGAGTCAATTAAATCAGTAATAATTAAGATAAAACCTCGCAATAACATAATGAGAAAAATTACCATTCCCACGTCAATTGCAAGAATTCGCAGAGTTTTTCCATTAACACCCTTGATAGCTTTTGTTGGATCAGGACTGTATACCTTTGGTTGTCTGATCGATACTAGTAATCAAACAGTATAGGATTGAGACACAATACCAAAGTCGTAGCAATTCTTAAATTCACTCAACAAAGAGTATTAATGCAGACGTACCTTCGGCTACCAAATTTTTTTTGTTTGGATCAACCCAATCAATATCTTGATATTCGTGTAGCCAAAGCTCCGACCTTAACCTACTAGTAGCATCCATACCAACTCTCATCACATTTGAAGTATTTCCTACCACACTCTTTGGAAATAAGATTTTACCCAATAAAACACCTTGAGTTCTTATTTTCTTAGTAAGAGCACGCGTATCCACGCCATAAATTGCAGGAATATTGTTCTCTTTTAGCCATTCAGCCAAAGAGGATTTCGCAAGATGATGTGAATAATCACGGGAATAGTGTCCAACGACTAGCCCAGTGACATGAATTCGTGAAGATTCAAAGTATTTGGGAATATCGGCCAGAAAATCATTCCTTTCATCGCGTGATGGAACACCGTAATTACCAATCAAGGGAAAAGTGAGTATGAGAATTTGCCCGTGATATGATGGGTCGGTGAGTGACTCGGGATATCCAACCATTCCTACACATCATTGTGTTAGTTTGCACATTTTCACCAACTCGAATAGTTCGAAAGACGCTTGGCTTGAAATAAATTCTAAGTATACCAGTTTGGCAGACACATTCGCCAGAGACAGACTTAATCACGGCACCAAAGGATAGGCCACGGAAGCTTGTACCGTCTTTGAGAATTAAAATTGCTTCAGGCAAAGAATCATCCAAGGGAATTTCAGAAACAGGAGAAGCAGGTCCCGCGGGTGTCGATGGGCGCGATAAAGAGAGTTGTTGAACTGGTAACGCGCCATTTGACATATCAGTCCCGTCCATGTTTTGGTGGTGAATTCAGTTCTGCTGTGACCGGTTGCAATACAGCAAATTGCAAAACTCTCGATATTTTTTTTTGCTCTTGATCAGTAACGTAATAAAAAGTTTTCCTCGTGAAACATAAACACGCCTAATTTAGGAATTATTAATGTTTGTCAACACAATTTCCAGGATCAGTGGTCTACCGCTACAATTAATAGATGTACACTCAATTTCCCCCAATTCGGACGCCAACTTTCCGACGAGTTAACGATGGACGAATTATCGATTTCTCGTAAAATTTTTATACTGTAACGTACACTAATGATAACATGAAACTCGATTAATACTAAATAGTCGACGAACAAATATTACATATATGGTGACGATCGGCCACAAAATTAAATTGTCTCGTTTATATTACAATGTTTAATTTATACAGCCCGAATCGAATTACCAAGTATCGGTTATGGGGAAAAGAGTCCGGCATCAAACGTTCAGTAATTCAGAGTATCACTCTAGCGTCTGACTCTTACAAACCAGATTCTATCCTTGAATGGTGTGTTCCAGCGTTCTAATGTAGATTTATTCAATACTAATCATTTTAAGTAAACGTTCATATTACATAATAATAAACCTATTTAAATAAACTTGTTCATCAAGAGCGTTGAGAATAAATCTAAGCAGCTCTGTTAAAAAGACGCGTCGAATTTTTATTCCTCAATTAAGGTTTATTATTATTAGTTGTTACCTCAATAATAGTTCTATTCATAGTTGCGCGTCGTTGAGGCAGCAGCTACAATAGGTAAGCACTACAAGTGCTTGATATTGCAATTAGCAAGAAAGGCAATGTACTTGCTGCCCAGATATTCACCAACATTATTTCAAATATCACTCTTTTGGTCGGTGAAATAATTGTCAATATTATGATACGGACTCACCTTTTTTACCACAACAATTTTGTACGGCGATGGAGAATGAGATATAAATTTTCAATGGTTTCAAACTTCGTTTTCGTAGGATTTTGTTGCAATACCTCCACATTATTTCTCTATTATTATGTTATTCGTAGACAGAATGAGACAACAGCCATATACATATTTTTCACGGAGAACCGACAGTCTCCTCTCCATTAGAACATTATGCATTACTTGCGGTCCATCACTTTGCCAGCGAGTTTACCCAAACAACTGGGCATGCCGAACTGAAGCAATAATGAGTATTGTGGTTGAAAAGACCGTGCATGCAGATGATATCGAATACATGCTGAATTAGAGTCGACGGCGGTATTAGCATTTATTACGACACACTTTAATAGCGATTTACGATTAATATTGATTCATCTGATCACTTAAATGTATTTTATACACAACGACATTAGTAGCTTCAAAGAGTAGTTGATTGTTATGAGAAATTGAAGTTGTAATACTAATACTCGCTTCAGATTGCGGAAATGACGTCATTTTTAATGTGTTTTTCGCTTGTTCTCTAAAGTTTTATTGCGCACTTATAGGAGTAGAAGCGATTCTACGCAGCAGTCATAAATAGTAGTACAAGAAGCGAGACAATAGTAATAGTAGATTAGCAATTAGAATTTGATCAATGCTAAAAATAGATCAATTAGTGAACGATAAAGTATATAAGCAGCTTAGAATTTTAGCATCGGTTTGTTCGCCTCTCAGTTCAAGTTCAATATTAAATTCCTTTACGTCGAAGACGTTCGATTCCCTTATTTTATTAATAAACGAGTATCCATTTGCTCTGATACGATAATTCTTTCCCTGAATATTCCGTTATAATTCTTAAAGCATTAATCCGTATAACGGCATAATACCTGTCCCGTGATCAATCGGGTGGCATCAAGATAGTTAATTATTATTTCTCAACGCGTTATTAAGACCCCGACCTACAGACTACCGAATTAATCCATCGGTAGGAGCGGTAGAGAGTAGTTTTAGTTTCTCGAGAATAAATTAATTATCTAGGATTAGTGTGTGCGATCCGTATACGAATACGTCAGCACTGAAAAGCCTAATTAACAGGTCACTCCGAGTCATACGGACAGACTGTCACTTTTCCTACCGATCGCTTCTTGTTTCTATAACATTGTACAAAGAAATAAATAGGAAGGTAAAAAGTTTGTGTGGCCTGAAATATTCTGCGGAACAAATGTCAACTGCAACACCCGCTGACACACTACTTCCTTGTCAGAATGTTACCTTTCCGACCAATTCTTTCTGAAGAGGAATCACGAGAGTTAGAAACAGGTGTGCAATTAATCCAATACGTTCCTCTAAATTAGAGACATTGAAATATTGATAATTCTATTACATAAACAGTTGACGTATATGTGTCAGATGTAGAACCACAAGAGGCTGGAAAAGTTTTAAAGTAATCTCAGGTTCTTATGCTAAGAAAGTGCATTCTTGAGACAAATTGATCTCAACATTATGTAATATTGATAATGCGGTTAGATTCATCCAGAAGTATTGTCCATCACACAAAGACCTCGAACATGTGAAAAAGATAAGAAGAATTAACCATGAAAACGGTGACTTGTCAACTTTTGTTGCATCGTTTACCCAAATCTATAATGTCTCTTATCAATCATTTTCCCGTATTACCGCAGGCTACACATTGACGGCACTTCTCTGTCAAACTAACTCAATTTCCGAATCAGATCTGATAAAATTGATCACGGAAAACGGGTTGGATAGCGTCATATTTCCTCGCGTCCAATCCGTCTCAAAGCACAGAGCTTATACGAGAGAACAGTTTGATGCATGGCGAGTGCTCTGGCCGCTTAATTACCGAGAAGATCCCAGACGGTTAGTTATGT